CAGGGAGAGCTGGGGGGGCTCACCTGGAGAGGAGAAGGATCCAGGGAGAGCTGGGGGGGCTCACCTGGAGAGGAGAAGGATCCAGGGAGAGCTGGGGGGGCTCACCTGGAGAGGAGAAGGATCCAGGAAGAGCTGGGGGGGCTCACCTGGAGAGGAGAAGGATCCAGGCAGAGCTGGGGGGGCTCACCTGGAGAGGAGAAGGATCCAGGCAGAGCTGGGGAGGCTCACCTGGAGAGGAGAAGGATCCAGGCAGAGCTCAGAGCCCCTGGCAGGGCCTGGAGGGGCTCCAGGAGAGCTGCAGAGAGACTGGGGACAAGGATGGAGGGACAGGAGCCAGGGAATGGCTCCCAGTGCCAGAGGGCAGGGCTGGCTGGGAGATTGGGAATTGGGAATTGTTCCCTGGCAGGACCCAGGGAATGGCTCCCAGTGCCAGAGGGCAGGGATGGATGGGAGATTGGGAATTGGGAATTGTTCCCTGACAGGACCCAGGGAATGGCTCCCAGTGCCAGAGGGCAGGGATGGATGGGATATTGGGAATTAATAATTGTTCCCTGGCACAAGGTGCCCAAAGCAGCTGTGGCTGCCCCTGGAAGATCCCTGGGGCTTGGAGCAACCTGAGATAGTGGAAGGGTGTCCCTGTCCATGGCAGGGAGTGGCACTGGCTGGGCTTTAAGGTCCCTTCCAGCCCAAACCATTCTGTGATTCCATGACATTGCTGAACACAGAGACTGGTCAATCTCTTACTTTTATTCCAAATTCATCTGGGCCATGCTCCAGGAAACCCTGCTTGTGTACAGAGGTTGGACTAGAGGAGCCCCAGTGCTCCCTTCCAAACTCTGGTTCACAGAATCACAGAATAATGAGGTTGGAAGAAACCTCTAAGATCATCAAGTCCAACCTATGCCCTAACACCACACCTAGACTACAGCACCAAGTGCCAAATCCAGTCTTTTTTTAAACCTATCCAGAGATGGTGATTCCACCACCTCCCTAGGAAGTCAATTCCAGTATTTTATTATTCTTTCAGTGAAAAAATTTTTCCTAATATCCGGCCTAAACCTTCCCTGATTCTTCGTGCCTGCTTCAGGACACAGACAGGGCTTAGCCCTGATCCTCAGCTGGACTGGGACACTCCCAGGCCATTCCCACCCCTGGGCTGGCTCTGTGTCCCAGCTGTGCTGTCCCTGCCCAGCCCTCACAGCCTCTGTCCTGTCGGAGCAGTGTGACCCCCCTGCATAATTTATTCAGCCTTCTGCACCTCCATGGTGCAGAAGGCTGAATAAATAGCTTTTATTAAGCTAAATTATATTACAGTAATACTATACTAGAACTGTAACATACTAAGAAGATTCTAAAGAAAAACCCGTGGCTGTCTCCAGACCAGCTTTGACCCAGCTGGGCAATCAGTCCAAACCATCACCAGTGCCCAATTAACAAATCACTCTTGGGTAAACGATCTCCATAACACATTCCACATGTGCCAAAAAACAGGAGCAGCAAAGAGAGATAAGAATGGTTTTCTTCTTTCTCTGAGCTTTCTCACTGTGTCTGTCCTAGTTTAGGGCAAATTTGGGGAAAACC